CAGAAGTAATTTCCCCCCCCCCCAATCCACCAAAGCAAGATTTTGACAACTTCACTAACCGACAAGAGCCGTGATTGACACTCAACACTGATCTAGTGTGATAATCTGAAGACGACTGACTTACTGATTGGGTCCCCGTCTGCCTTGTAACCTGGCCAATTTGGTGACCTCCTCACTTGGCCTGATGAAGCTTTTGTGTCAAAAGCGAAAAGTTGCCCAAATAAAAACTACCGATTGTTTATCAAGCACTTCTGAAACGTTGGTCATTCTTCTTTATCTGGAAGCTGCGTCTCTGTTGATCGTCAGAAACTCTGGCGGCATCTGGTGATCAAAGCTGTGACTTTCAAATTTCTATCGCCTATTAGGACACTGAGAACTCCTGTGGGCGCGTACGAGTATATGGCAAGCTTACACCATATCCAGTGGTGTAAGACAAGGCTGCTCCCTCTCGCCTTTCCTCTCCAACTTTGTTACTGATGTGCTACTTGAAACTTTCTGTCCAACTTCGAAACCTCGGAGGTCGAAATTAACTTCGAAACCTCGGAAATCGAAATGCTCCCGGACGTTCGCTCACAGACACTCAGTATGCGGACGATATGGCTCTCCTTAGTTCAGATCCTTCCAAAATGCAAATCGTTTCAAACAACCTAGACAACTCTGCTGCATGGTTTGGCATGCGCTTCACACCTGCAAAGTGTAAAGTGCCGCTAAAGAACTGGGTGGTATCAAAATCGAACCTCAAGCTTGCAGACGAGCCAATCGACGTGATAGATGTGTTTGCCCGGACAGTTGTGTCAGTTCCACTGGACTTATTGGAGACGCGATTAACTCTAGAATCGACAGGACCGGGGCAGCTTCTGCCAACCTCCGATACCCGTGGCGCCGAATTGGCGCCAGTTTTTTCCGTCAGGGACAGAGTTTACACTGCGGCAGTGCGAAACACAGTGATTTATAAATCAGAAACGTGGCCTCTACATGCAGGGGACATACGGAAGTTGTCAAAGTTTGACCGCCGGTGTCTCCAGAGCACTGGTTGGGTCTGATGCAAACATCGCATTGATGATGCTGAGGTACACCAGCTAGGCTTGGGAAGGAGCTCTCCTGTAATGGATGAATTACGCTTCATAGGTTAAGACGATTAGGATATGTGCTTCACATTCCAGAAGCAAGTCTGCCTCGCAGAACTCTCCGACCAGCCATGTCCTGACCGAGAGGTGGGCAGTGTATGACCAGGTAACGAAGTATGAAAACACTAACCAGTACACTTAGTCGGGTCATCATCATCATCATCAAGGACAGCAACATCAGTGTTGCCACTGATGCTTCACTGCCGTAACTTAGTCGGGTCGACAACTGCCGCCTCCCTACAAGTGGACCCCGGGACTTATCCCACAAATGGTTAATGATACTGGGAGAAATGGTCCAATCGTGCAGTCGGTGGCACTCGTACATCAGAGCTATCGCCTCCAGTGCGTAGGTACCCGATTCCCCAACTAACTGAACATGCCGCCGCCATCAAGGCTTGGCTGTATGTCCCAAGCTGTCCCGTTTTTGGTGACCGAAACGGTAGCATCTGGAACCAAGGTGCCTATGATACACGGTTTATAGCTGATACTGTACCGTTTTTGGTGACCAAAACGGTAGCAGCTGGAACCAACGTGCCTATGATACACGGTTTATAGCTGATAAATTGATTGAACTGATGATTGAAATAAACGTAAACAGGCTGGAAAGGGATTGGTTGAAAAAGTCACCACCGTCACGAACAGAGCAGATGGAAGGTCGTCAGAACAAGGAGCTTGATGACACTTGAGTAGAGATATACATATGGACAATTCTGAGGCTGAACGGGGGTTCATATTCACCGTCCACCTTTCGGTTGAAGGCTAACAGTCCGGATTGGAGGAAACACGTGGCCAACTGAATGGTTATCT